TGAAGCCACGTAAATCGTTGTCATTCAGAGCACTCTGTGGTGCTGCATTCTGCGCTCTCAGCGCAGACTGAGGGAGAGGCACCACGGGTTTTGATCTAGACCAGACTGTGCTCAGTCATGTCTTTGCCAAGCTCAAGAGTTCGAATCTTTTTAAGCATCCCTTGTATGGAATCCATTCCTTATCTCTGATCACTTTTTTTTCAGCCTCATCTTTGCTTTTCCAGTTGCCATGTATCTCAAAGTGCATCCTCCTTTGTGCCAACCCACTGTAATCAGCGTGCTGAGAACTGAGAGCCGTGATGCCATCCCCCCATTTTCCATTTTTATTCCTTTCCCAAAGCCTCTCACACTTGCTCATATGATCACTGTTGAACATTAAACTTGCATTTTCACAGAATTATGACAAGCTCTTCCTTTTAAGTGGCAATAATTAACTTTCACCCCATCAGTGCATAAACAAATTAAGATTCCCCCCCCTTGTATTTATCTGGAACAAATTTAATTTGGCATTTTGCTGCCTGTAATTCATGTTAGAAGGACAAGTTGCAATTCTTCCTAGCCAGCTCTTGTTGTTTCTTCCCTTTCTACTCAACACCTTTCTCACCAGAACATTTATGAGTATGCTGAGCAGTAGAGGTGTAACACACATCTCTATTCTTCTCTTGCCCCAAACTTCCCTTCTCTGTCCTTGTTGAGTCATTTAAAACCTCCAACAGATGTAACCTGCACTGTTTCCTTTGCAAAAGTCACACCAGCTTTCTCCTGCTGTAAGTTCTTAGTCCATCTGGTTACTTCTTTTTATCATTTATTTTTTAAAAAGGCATTGAACTCTGTGATATCCTGCTGAACTATCTTTAAGAACTGCTACCATGTAAATCATCTTCTATTTCTCTGGCTTCAAGGTATTAAGTGAGAAGTTACACAGCATAATTAATAATTTGGTCATTTCAGGCCCAAGTTTCCTTTGGAACCCTTGGGCGAGCACCATCTGGTCTTGGCATCTTGTAACTGTATTTATCACTTTGCTCTAAAAATTACTTTGCTGACAATTCAAGCACAGACAGACCTTCCAATGAGTCCTGTTCCCCATAAAGAGAATTTCTGGCATAGGAACCTCTTTGGACTCCTGGACTCCTCCACGGGAAACAGGAACACACATAAGTCATCTAACTTTCTACTCAGGCCTTCATCATCAAATATTTCTTTCACTTCTTCACTCCAGCACCCTTCTGCTTCTGATGTACTTGGAAAATGGTTTTTTTTGTTTTTCTTGCCATTAGTATGACATTGCTCAGAGTCTCTCTGGCAGGTCCTTGTATTTTTCATTTGACTTGCCAGAGTTCACGTTTTTATTTACTTTTCTGGTCAACTTCATGACTTAAAACTTTCTGAAGGCTGTACTCTTATTTCTAATACTTTCTTTATCCCAAACTGCATGCTCATTCTCATCTGTCAACATTCCACAGTGTAATTTAAAATCTTCCCAAAAATATTTTCAATTTCAAGCGCAGAAGCCTGGTTCTGCTGTGGTTTACATGGAACCCAGCCTTTCCAAACAGCTCCTGGACTGAGGTTCAAAAAATGAGCCAATTCACTTGGTCAGTACCAAGTCAAGATCCCACTGTAAGACGACCTTCTCACCTCCCACAGTTGCAACAGAGCAGACAGGAGGTGAAGAACAAAGAGCCTCCAGGTGTGAAATATAAGAAAAACGAAATGTTAGCAAAGAATGCAAACAGAGATAACTGGTACTTGGAGAGCTGCTGGTTCTTTCAAACCCCTGACACAGGCAAGGATAACTTTAATTAAAACTGTGAAGATGAGGAGGAATCACTGTGTACACATCCACACTGGTGACCTGCTCCAAATGTGACAGTTCAGGCCAGGTGAGACAGAACTATTTGTGGTTGCAAAGCACTGCTAATTAACTGAGCAAAGAGATTGAATTGAGCCCTGTTTCTGATTAAAAAAACAACAATAAAAAAGCAAGCAGAAAACCCACAACTGTCAGAGCCTGAGGAAAGCAAAACCTCATATTTGTTGTGGGTGTACTGCCCAATTCTACTGGGTATATTTGTGACTTTCCATCTGTTCCTCTTACCAGGGACCCTGGTCATGAAGGATGGTCAGGGAAAGACAGCAAACCTTCTCCTCATTAGTTTAATTAGATGATTCACTTAGGAAGGACTGGCTGTTAGTTGTGTGGATGGCAAATATCTTAATTAAAAGGTGGTCTATGGATACCTTAGTTCTTTTACAGTCTCAAATGTTCTTCCCAAGTGAAAACGTGGTGATAGTAAAAGGACAGAAGAGAGTATGGACAGTGCAGTGTTGTCCTACCAACTCCAATTAAGCTTCTGGTACTTTTATTCAGAGTCCAGAATGAGTGATAATAAAGGCCAGAAAGCACCCAGACACCTGGCACTGGTGTAAAAGCAACAATAACTTAACCAGCGTACCACAGACAGTCTTTTAGGATATTTGTGCTTATTTTTGAGATGATCTCAAAAGTAATATGCAACTACTTCTTTCTATTTAGCTACTCGGCTATTCACAGCAGGAGAGGAATCTCATCAGCAGGCAAGGAGCAGAGGATTTCCATCCAGGTGTGTGCAGGTGCATGGCTGTACCCTGGGAGGGAAGGTCAGCTGCCATTTGGTGCATTTATTTGTTCTGTATCAGAGGGTTTCACCCCTTACTACGTGTTTGCTGGGACAGAGTCATGGAGCTACTGTGAAAAAACACAAGCAAAGACGATGAACGTTCCAAGCCCCCTCCAAAACATCAAACTGCTTTTTATCTGGAATTTGCTTATCTGAAGAGCCATCACCAGTCCTACATCCTAGTGGCAGTTAGGATCATTTAGGATGTTTTTACTGTCAATTCCTGGCTCGGAGAACTCCCCGCCTCTGGCGCTCGGGCTGCTGTGGCACCGAGCCAGAGCGTGAGCTCGGAGAACGAGGAGGGAGAACATGAGAGCTGCTCAGCTGAGCTCTGCTGTGACTGAGTTTATTTTGCCCCTCGTGTGAAGGTGCATTTATGTCTTGAGAAACTTTTAAAAAAAAAAAACAAACCAAACAAAACCCTCCGTGTATTCTAGTGTTAAATGATACAAATCACCCATTCAAGTTAATTTATGTCAAGCGTTAATGCCGAATACGCTGTTAAACATTCCAGTGAACTAATTAAAGTGAAATAAGGCTAATGGCAGTTTTTCTTTTTTTAAACATGCAGCCTCGGTCCAAATCAGAGCCAGAATTAGACTGTATATCTGAGAGAGGAGAAATGTCAGGGCTGTGTGACTGGAGACCTGGGTAAGGCCAGAACAGGGCAGGAGGAAGGCACACAGATGCATTAGAAGAGCCTTCAACAGAAAACAAATATTTTCACAAATAATCTTTTCAGAGAGGGAGAGGCTTTATATTTCCATACTGGGAAAAAAAATCCCCAAATAAAGCCACTGGAGAATGTAATACTTTCAGTCACAAACAACACTTAGGGCACATAAACTTAACTTTTGAGATTTTTGAGAGGATAAAAGTTTGCTTCTAGAAGAAGCAGGCCATTTCAAAGTCACACAGGTGGCAGAGTTGTTACCTAGTTAAAGCTCTGGGGTTAAAAAAAAAAAGCAACAACAAACATAACATTCCCTAGGTAGGTCTTAGGGTTTAGTTTTCTGCAAATCCTGTATCACACAGAGAAAGGGTGGGTGGGAACCACTATTCATGAAGAGTTCCCTACAATAAACAGGTGAACTGCACCAGAGAGAAACAAAAGCTGGATATGAGACAGCAACTAAAAACAAACAAACCTCCCCTCCAGACACCTCGCAGGGACAGACTTAAAGGGATATCAAAGCAGTTGTGGTATCATTTGAGTGGGAACAATACTTTGTCCTGAGCCTCTGTAACGACTTTAACTCTGCAAATCTCTATGAGAAGTTTTCGGGTCATTTTTTCAGACTGAAACGCAACCGAAGTGGTCTCGAAGTTCCTCTCGCCCCTCGGCACGCACGGTCCGGGCAGGTTGTAGTTTAAGGCCGGGCAGTTTCAGGACCCCGACTGTGCCAAAACCCGCCGGGCGCTCCCCGGCACACCCGCCCCGGCAGAAAACCACCCCCCAAACTTTGCCGTCTCGCTCCGGAGCGGGATTCCTCCCCGAGCTACGAGCTGAACCCCGCACAAGCCCCGGGCAGCCCCTTCCGCAGGGACCCCCGGGCGGGACCCCGGGGCGACCCCCGGGGCGGGCGGGGCGCGGCCCCGCGGCGGTGACGTCACACCCCGGGCCGCCCCTCACCGGGAC